ATACCAAGTTTAAATCCACACCTAGTCTCTCAATAAGCATCATTTCCTAATATCCTGATGGAGGGATAATGGGCATTCCAAGCCATGTGGATTTCTATCCTTTTTAAAGCTTAATCCACTGCTTAGATAGCGTGCCAGAACAACATCAATATTGACATTAGGGGAATTTCCAACGCTTCTGTGGATGCGATCGGCCTAACCGGAGTAAATCCTTCAAGCTTCCGGCAGATTTTCCTCTCCTATAGTCTTCCCCCCGGCTATACGTGACTTAAGTCCGTTTTTTTTCAGGTGTTTGACTCTTTTATAAGTTTCAGCCTTGTTAACGCATTTTCATACAATGCGTTACATGCGAATCTACAATTTGTTTAAGGACGGCGATTAGAATTTTACTGCTTTCTGATTGAAATATTCCCATCATATGCTATTTCCGGGTCTTTTACAATTCGTAAAATATTCTATTTGAAAAACAGAAAATTTAATAATTATACTTTTTTTAACAATAGAAATTTATGTAAATTAATTTTGATTTAAATTTAATTTATTCATAAAAATTACATAAGCAGATTTTTAAGATATCGCATCTACATAAATAAACACAAAGGATACGATCCATAAATATGTTATTTATGAAAAACATATCGAATTTTATATTATGTATCGCTCCAGAATATGTTATAAATGCTGGATTAAAATAAATTTTTACAATATTTTGACTTACTTAAAATATAAGTTATAAAACAAAAACGGGTGTTTATCTAAGTTACTTTAATATAAGAAAACTCATAAGATGCTACGCTATTACATTGACACATAATATATTAATTATATATACATATAATGTTTATAAATTCTTAACTAATTTTATTTATGTTTCTGTGCAATTTGAACTTTTCTCCGAGAAAGAAAATTTGATTTTATATTTCTTAATCAAAATCGTGATTTCCAAAAGTTAAACTCGTAACAGAACTAATCTTTCGATGTGTTTCCGACAAAATTACTTAATTGAGAAGCAATTTTCTTTAGTAAATTCGATCGAATATTAGATTAACTCAATATAAACCTAAAATTAAAGTCATTATAAAATTTTATAAAATTTCTGATAGTAGATTTGTAATTATAATTAGGCCTTAACTTTAATATTAAATTATTATTATATTGTCTTTAAGTTTATTATTTGTTTTAGATATCTGTTTATACTATGTAAATTTAATTTTATATAATTTTAAATAATAGCAATATTAAATTTAGATACCGAAGCTTATTAATTTTGCTGATTTATTGTTATAAATTATCATTTTCTCCGTCTGATCTGCGCCTGATGAATAAAGTAAATGTAACGTATAGTAATTTTTTTATGTTATTTTTATTATATATATATATAGTATTTAAAGATATTTAGATAGTTAAAAGTAAAAATCGGTTTAGTCTAAATGTAAAGAAATGGAAAAATTCTATTAAAAAAGTTGTAGGCTCATATAAATTACTAACTCAATTTTTGAATAGTTTAATCGTTTCCCCCCTCATATCTTAGTATGTTTCATTAATGAAGACCTTATAAGGAATAGGCCTATTAAAATTTTTATAAATTAGTTTTTACTTCAGACAAATTTAAATTAATTTATTATTATAATAAAATAAAATTTGTAGGAATAGAGAGGATGTTTTTAGCTATTCTTCTTAATCTAAAATTGCAGAAAGAAAAAAAGAGAGAATGACCAAGTGCACAACTGGAGCGTGGAGCCATTGAAGAAGTGTCCAAGAGAAGGGACACCTGCGAGTATCATCACCAGACAGAAACTTCCCGGTGTCCCATGTAAATCAAATCATAGCGTCCATTCTGATGTGCCACCACTGGCCTAATCCAATTCCATTTCCAAAATGAAATTACTTGGTGCTAAGTGATATCCAAATCCACGGACTAGGACGTTGCGCACTCCACATGCTGCTCTATCCACTACCAATGAATAATGCAAGCACACAATGGCATCATTTGTACCGCTGACACCGACCGGGGAGGTAAAATCAGAGCTTGCTTTTTTTGTCTCCTTCTTCCTGCTGTTGGGAGATGTGATGTCACCCACTTTTATGTATGTGTTTATATAAAGCTAGATCCAAAAACTACTGTAAGTTTGATGGCCGTAATTCGGTTTTCTACCTAACTCATTAATATAAAGACAAGAAATAATTAACTTTTTAATAACCTTGTATTTTATTTTATTTTATTTTTTTTGTATAATGTCCTTATTTTAATTGAGTTTCCAAATTCATTATAATTAACTTTATTTTTTAAAAAAAAACTATAATTAATTTCAAATTTGATTCCTCAATAATTTAATTGAATTACAAATAAAATTTAAAATTTTAATATTAGTATTGCTAATATGATAATTTTCTAATTATCATATTAGCAATACTAAATTCTTACGTTTTAACATTGAGATAGCCTTTAGATTTTCCTATTAAAGCCTATAATTGCTTAATTTTCACTCTAAAAACATATCCTCCAAGTAAAAAATATGAATACAAATTGCAAAATATTAAAAAAAAAAATGCTAAATTTATGCAAAATGCTAGTCCTAATTTCAAATTATTTAACCTTTCGATGTCTAAATTTTTAATTTTTTTTTTTTTTATAATTAGCATTCATAAAGGAAAAGGTAAGTTATGACCCAGGATTTAACACAATTTTCATAAGAAAGAATATTAAAAATAATCTTTTGTGGGACTTATTAAAGGTCCTTCATATAAAAACTGAATAATTACTCTAAAAAAAAAAATTTATAAAATATAATTTTAAAAAATCACTCATTTATCATTGAAGATTATACCCATTTAAATTATTAATGGTAGTAAAATATTTATATAGTCTACACGAATTTTTATTTATTTATTTATTTTCTATAAACTATGGTATGAATAGATTTAAAGTGGTTTACGTTCTTAATGAAAATGCTTTTTGATATGAAAAATATTGCGGTACAATAAACAGGGCAACAGATGCAGTGGATACATTAAGAGGAATTATAGAGCAATCATTGTATACTAGATGGCGTTTGCGGTACTCCAGGAACGTGACGTCTGAACATCCAATAAGCTTTCTTAAGACGTAATCTGAATGTCGGATAGCCAATAAGAGAATAGGATCTTGATTGATTGCGACATATTCAGACAGAAGTTTCTTACTAATCGCAGCAGATTTCCCTCTTTTTTCTTAGAAAAACAATTCAAACGCGACACCATTTAAGGCATTATGATAATTCCCGTACAAAATCCAGTAGAATATATATGTATATATATATATACTTTACTAAAAATTTCAATCTTATAAGTCACGCCCACTTTCATGTCCTTCGTTTTAATGACGTATCACAATCGACATACGAAAAGATAACTTGAATACAATACAATATATATATATATAGAAGAACTATAACGAGAGAAGGCTGTGTTTTTTATAGAAATTAAATCGTTTCCGGTGATGTAATTTAATGCAATATATTGAAACAAATGTAATCTATCACTAGATTTATTATTTTTAATTTTCCTATAAACTAGAATGATCATTAGACAGTTTTCTGGCAACAAATCTCCTTTAAAAAACATAATTACAAGCATACATGCCCGAAGCTAAATCGAACCCGCGATATGTAAGTAACAAACAATCTACCACCACATCACTGATTTTACATAAATCGAATTATTATAGAAAAATAAACTATATAATTATATATTTATTTTTATATTCAAAATTATTTTTGAGAATGGCCCATATTTTAATGTGATTTCGATACTAAATGATAAGGCTTGAGTCTTTAGGATCGAAAAACTAATTAGAGATTATGATGATCTGTAATAATAATAAAATTTTAAATTATTTTAGGAAAAACTACTGTCGAGAAAGAAAGAACTTGGAAGAATGCCTTCATAGCTTGACAAATTAAGAATGATAAAACAGTCAGACCCTATAAGAATTAGGATAGTGAATTAAGATTATAAAGCCTTATCTTTGTCAACGTTATCTTCGTAGGCCTGTAATTTTTGATCTTGTTCTTAAACATTTGTCTAATCTAAAGAAAAATTTCAACTAAAATGATTTCATTATCGTTTTTTGATAAATTGAAACGTATCAAACATTTTTACTTCGATACTAGCAACAGGCTTAACTAGTATAAGATCCATCAATCCAATAGATTATTTTACTTAAAAATAGAATTATTTTTTCTCTTTGAAGTTAAACCTCAGGGTATTTTCCGCTAGACTTTGGCACATGTGAAGATATGAGCCATCAACACATAGCATCAGCGGAGCGGAATAGAAGTGATGAGTGCTCCACCCCAGGGGCGTATACGCCCAAAATAGTATTCCGTGCAACAGATGTAAGAGCAGTTAAAAGAGATAGGACCGACATATCCATCTCTGCTTATACAAGACTTATCCATTTATTGATTTCCAAGAACATCTAGGTATGTCCTTTACTGAGATTTGTCTTAAACTATGTATAAGTGGAAACCATTATCGTGTTACGCAATATTTTTATAAATAATCAGTTTTGGAAGAAGTTTTTTATTAATAAATAATGTATTTATTAAATTTTACGCAATAAATTTAAATTTTAAATAAAAACAAATCAAGTAAAACCAGTTATAATCATTTGAGCTATCAAATAAATTTATATTTTTTCAAACAAAATTGTGCTCTTGTAATTAAATTTTGAATGAATTAATAAATATTCATTTGATAACACGAAGATTGGAAGCACTAAAATATCCGAATTTATATTTAAATGCAGCTTATTTAGGCTATACAACGACATAAATATATAAATAAGCAGAAAATTAATTATTAAGTGTGATAGAGCTTCATTATAAAAAAAAAGTATTTAAAGCTTATAAATCACGAATTAAACATTTTCTTAAGTAATTAACAGCAACTTATTTAATATTAAATTAAGTAACCAACTATAAATATTCCATTATTGAGATTAATATAATGAGACCTACCTTTAATACTTTTGGAACTGGGTCCGTCTCTGCTCCAAGGTGGATCACCATGACCGGAGAAGTCTCTTAGCTTTAGATAGCTGATGGAAAGTCTTATGATAGATGCTTTGTCTAGTTGGCTAGTTATGGCTGCTGGGAGTGGTAGTAATTTGGCCAATTCGTAGAATTCATAATTCTCTTTCCCCCGCCTGGACCGTGCAGCGTCACGTGATTTCTCTTTTCTCATCTCAAGGATGCTGCAAAAATACAATTTATTACTAAGACCGAAAGCGTTAATATTATGTTTTCAGTTTAATTTAAAATGATTATAATTTAGGCAGATATTTGAACCGAAAACCATTTCATTAAATAATTTGTATGATTAGTTTGAACCGATCTTAACAGCAGAAAACTTTCGAGCGCTTTTCTTAAATTTATTTAGTTTTTTCGAAAAATTAATATTTTCTAGGAAGTAAGACGACATCTTATTAAACAAATCACGTAACAGTTTAAAATTAATTAATTATACCGAAGACCCATGTGAGAAAAATACAAGTGGCATCCTACCTGACGATACTACTTAATTGATATTGTAATGAGTCGCTTGTGATGATCCTAAGGTCGCATACCTGACCGGCGATTAAATAATCTATACTAATACTCTTCATCACGTGATGAAAACAGTTTGTGTTTTCTAGTCACGCTACAACTAATGTATGTTCTCCGATTTATCCACAGGTGTAAGGTGTCCACGCAAAGCTATAGTTATGAAAACCTAATGAATGGATTGTTTCTATTTCGGTTAGCATTATTTCCAAATTAACTATTTGTAGTCAATTTAATTGCGATCTTCTTGAACTTATATCTTTTATTTTAACCAAGACATTATTCTCTGATAAAACGTATATCAATTCGTGTTTCATTTTGTCGTTCCTACAATTAACTCGTCTTCGTTTTAAGATAACTTACTTACGTGTTAAACATGATCTTCGTTATTAGAAAGAAGAAAGTGATAATTAATTTTTAAAAAAACATTTTCCAGACTCTAATTATCAATAAATCTTCATTCGAATTAATAGAAACTAGTTGTTGAAAACTAAGATGATATTTATTAAAAATAAACAAAAACCGGNCAGTTAGAAAAAAAAAACTCTTTCGGTAGTAATACTTTGCATAATATCGGAAACATTTTTTAAAGATTTTAATTTAGATTTATTATGGAAAATCGTTTCAGAAAAGTATCGAAACTTCTCCAATATAAAATTTTGTGAATTGGCCTTTCTACTTCGGTCGAGCATTCTGTTTGTGGAATAAAAAGAAGCAAAATCTCATCGGTGCTCTATAGCCGTGATTGTAAACAGATCTAACCTTCTCCAAGTCACTACAAGACGATATTTACCGTCATTGATTGATGCTGGAAGAAACGTGACAATAATACCTAATTAAGAGCATTGCTTGCAGGCAATGTCTCAGCAGATTGAGATCTATCGTTTCAAAGAACCTGTCTCTATAAACCATTCTACTTGTGCTTAATTACTATTAATGCTTTTCTATCAGTGAAATATGGATTATACCAATTCTTCATTTTCCTACATTAAAAAAAACCTTATCTAGTAATAAACATGAAATTTTTTCTCGAGTTTCAGTTTTTATAAATACTCAATAATGAAATTTACGAATAAATCATCTACAGTATTTAAAACTAAACATAACTTTAATTTGATCTCATGAAAAGGCATTAAAAATTTATTTAATAATTATATTTAAACTTACCGAGTTACAAAATATTTTCCATAATATAATAATAATTTAAAATCAATATTAATTCTGATTTTTAATACTCGAAAAAGCAATTTTTATCTTTCGATAAATTTTCCCTTTGGGTATTTTGTTGACGAAATTTCATAAAATATAAAAATTTCAATAAATTATTATTTAAATTTTTATTATTTCTATAAAATTTCGATTATATAAAATCATTTAAAAACAGAAAAATCCGAGATTAGAATTAAGGTGACGCCATTTAAAATTCTAAAGAATTTATACAGCATTTCTAATGAAGTTGATTTGTAGAGATGCACTGTCTTTTGTTATCTTCTGTATAGAGGTTTGAATAATTTGATTCTCAGAAATGATTCTAAGAACTTTTCTTCATCTTCAAGAACATCGATTTAGATTCCAACAGCAATTGATATATATTGACTCAATCCTCGATTCTTCCAGCTTCAAATGATAACTTTTGAAAATAGTTTCCCATCAAATATGAATGTTTCTTTTTAAGTTTATAAATATCACCCTTTATTTACAAGCGAAGTTGACCTCTTCTGTTTCGAATGTAAGTGCCGTTTGTAGTTTTTATTTACAGTACCACATATCCCTTGTGGAAAATGGGGTGATTAGCAGCAACTCCAAACCTGTAGTGTGACCGATGCCTTTGGGAGTGCTAACTTTTCCCAGTCGCTCTGGGGACAAAAGCTACTTATACTGTAGTCCCTTAACTAGCTTCAGACAATTGGGCGCCATTTCGATGTCAATTCTTGACAGTTAGAGTCTATTGAATTTTAGAGCAAAGCTGAATTAAAGCGCTTTTCAAGTAGCTTTAATCAGACTTTAAATTCTGGAAACCGTGCATGAAATTTAATTTGAAAAGGAAACTTAATGATTGATATAATAAATAAATGACTTATATCTTTTATTTTAAACTCAATTTGGAAATTAATCATTTCAATATTGCACGTGTTAATTAAATTTGAATAAGGATGCCCCCCATTTTTTAAAATTTGAAAAATAATTGCCAAATCTAAACTTTCAGCTTCCTTAAATCTATATACGACATCGCATTTTTTAAAATATTTTTCTAATTTTAATTTATTAAATTATTATTATTTTAATATCCTTACAGCCTAAAATACAGTACATTACGATTTTGAACGGATTTTATCAGCATCAATCCTTTATTCTCAGNTTATTAATAAATAATGTATTTATTAAATTTTACGCAATAAATTTAAATTTTAAATAAAAACAAACCAAGTAAAACCAGTTATAATCATTTGAGCTATCAAATAAATTTATATTTTTTCAAACAAAATTGTGCTCTTGTAATTAAATTTTGAATGAATTAATAAATATTCATTTGATAACACGAAGATTGGAAGCACTAAAATATCCGAATTTATATTTAAATGCAGCTTATTTAGGCTATACAACGACATAAATATATAAATAAGCAGAAAATTAATTATTAAGTGTGATAGAGCTTCATTATAAAAAAAAAAAAGTATTTAAAGCTTATAAATCACGAATTAAACATTTTCTTAAGTAATTAACAGCAACTTATTTAATATTAAATTAAGTAACCAACTATAAATATTCCATTATTGAGATTAATATAATGAGACCTACCTTTAATACTTTTGGAACTGGGTCCGTCTCTGCTCCAAGGTGGATCACCATGACCGGAGAAGTCTCTTAGCTTTAGATAGCTGATGGAAAGTCTTATGATAGATGCTTTGTCTAGTTGGCTAGTTATGGCTGCTGGGAGTGGTAGTAATTTGGCCAATTCGTAGAATTCATAATTCTCTTTCCCCCGCCTGGACCGTGCAGCGTCACGTGATTTCTCTTTTCTCATCTCAAGGATGCTGCAAAAATACAATTTATTACTAAGACCGAAAGCGTTAATATTATGTTTTCAGTTTAATTTAAAATGATTATAATTTAGGCAGATATTTGAACCGAAAACCATTTCATTAAATAATTTGTATGATTAGTTTGAACCGATCTTAACAGCAGAAAACTTTCGAGCGCTTTTCTTAAATTTATTTAGTTTTTTCGAAAAATTAATATTTTCTAGGAAGTAAGACGACATCTTATTAAACAAATCACGTAACAGTTTAAAATTAATTAATTATACCGAAGACCCATGTGAGAAAAATACAAGTGGCATCCTACCTGACGATACTACTTAATTGATATTGTAATGAGTCGCTTGTGATGATCCTAAGGTCGCATACCTGACCGGCGATTAAATAATCTATACTAATACTCTTCATCACGTGATGAAAACAGTTTGTGTTTTCTAGTCACGCTACAACTAATGTATGTTCTCCGATTTATCCACAGGTGTAAGGTGTCCACGCAAAGCTATAGTTATGAAAACCTAATGAATGGATTGTTTCTATTTCGGTTAGCATTATTTCCAAATTAACTATTTGTAGTCAATTTAATTGCGATCTTCTTGAACTTATATCTTTTATTTTAACCAAGACATTATTCTCTGATAAAACGTATATCAATTCGTGTTTCATTTTGTCGTTCCTACAATTAACTCGTCTTCGTTTTAAGATAACTTACTTACGTGTTAAACATGATCTTCGTTATTAGAAAGAAGAAAGTGATAATTAATTTTTAAAAAAACATTTTCCAGACTCTAATTATCAATAAATCTTCATTCGAATTAATAGAAACTAGTTGTTGAAAACTAAGATGATATTTATTAAAAATAAACAAAAACCGGTTTTAACATAGTCAAAAATGCAGTCTGGAAGATTATTCTCCCCTTTTAATAATAAATATAATAAAATTTAACTAGAGTTTAACAAAAATAATTGTTTCACTTAAGTCTGTTTTATCTGTTAAATCAATAGTCCATATTTTTACTTAGCCAGATCCGTCTAGATTCATTTCTTATATGGAGCTTTTGAAGATTTAAAGTTTAAATTTGAAATGTTCCATCTTTTCTATTATCGAGTTTGTTTCAAATTTTTGATACTAACCAATTTTTGTCGGCTTAAAACTCGATTCTAGCACCCATGCACTTTATGCTTATATTTTCAATGCTATTGAAGATGGACCAAAATTCCTAGAATGATCTCCGGATGAATTTAGATATAAAGATAGGAAGCATCCATATAATAAATTACATAAATCTTTTATTCAATATTTCTTTCTATATGTGCAGACCCTCTATTTTCGTATTCTCCCGGAACATAACAGAGTATGCTTTGCTGCACTTAGATAAATCACTTCTTCTAACCGGCTAGAAGTTTCGCGAGCCGAATTTTTCTCGGGAATCCGAAATCACTACGCGAAATACCTATAGGTCAGTTGACTTGCTGTATGATTGATGACAGGACTAGTGTAAAAAGTGAAGTGTAATATCTGCAGTGACACATCAATATAGAAAGGCGATATGTGTGACTTAGCAGCAGGGACGATGCTGTGGAGATGCTCCGTAGCAGGACTACACGTCAGTAATGAGATATACTGGGGTTACTACGATAGAATGATTGTCTTTCGCAGTCCATATTAGGTGCAGATGTCATCTATATTACTTATGCCTTAATCCACTCAAACTATTTCTTTGTCTCTCCCTCTCCGCCCGACAATTATTTAAATTTTCTTCACTTAGAACACCTGTACCGTCTGTAAAATGTTACAAATCACCAAGTATCCGAACTGTTTGTGCATCTACAAGACAACGAACTGTACAAAAATGCGTACATCTAATTTTAAATTCATCAAGATATTGCTTCTATATTGCCTTAATGGCGTTATAGAGGTTAAATTAAAGCAGAAATGAAACTTTTTTCTTCGCGTAAGAAGTTAATAAACGAAAAAGCCAATCTATTAAAAACTAGTTTTAAATTTATTCATTAATAAAAAGTTTCTTGAATAAATATTCCTCCATAAAAAGTTGTTCTCTATATTCCAGCGAATAGGNGCAGAAATGAAACTTTTTTTCTTCGCGTAAGAAGTTAATAAACGAAAAAGCCAATCTATTAAAAACTAGTTTTAAATTTATTCATTAATAAAAAGTTTCTTGAATAAATATTCTTCCATAAAAAGTTGTTCTCTATATTCCAGCGAATAGGTTAATGATACAGCTAATTAATGATAATAAGCGTCATTTTGTCAATATTATTGTTTTAAACACCTACATAATTAATATAATTATATGTTTAATATCATTTTTAATAGTGTAAATGAAATAAATTAATAATTTTTATATTGAAATATGTTAAAAGTAAGATATTTTTTTATCATAATTGGTTAAGTAATGTTATTAATTGGATTTAATTTTAAGTGTACAGCAAGTATTAAAAGCAAACAGAAAAAATCAAGATTGAAATTTTATAAGTTAAAGAAATCGGAATTTCAATCCTTTATTTACAGAAGCGAGTTTATTCCGATCATAAAAACTATTAAAAAATGGTGCAAACCCAGTTTATAAGTACCAAAGATATAGTTGCTAAAAATTACCTTGAGTGACAAATAAATATTTCATGTGAGTATCCGATATCCCACAAGCGTGTCCGGAGTTTTATGTAGTAATTCGCTCGGGGAATACACACACACCTATTGTTAGACAGTGAAAAGGAAAAAGTCCGAACAGCCAGGATGACCACCTCCAGAGAGTGGTGGAAACTGCACCCTAAAATTTCGTTATTTCCCGGTATTGTGGCTTGGAATGTAAGTGTCAGCTATCAAGGACCTGGTTTGATGCACGCTCCCCTTCCCTTCTCTGGACTTACCACCCCCATACTGAAAATCTGAGTCCAAGTCCATCTCAGCATGTGTTCCACTACTACCCATAAACTCGAGGCTAGTCCCATGTGAATACTGTCCAGTATACCCAGTAATTCATGGATGTTTTCAGCAATTTCATTATGACAGTATCCCGATGCCACATCTCCCAAGAGACGGAGTCTATCTTCGCTCTAGAAGGGGGCAGAGACAACCTAGGGGGTACGGTGCAATAATTTCCTCTATAGCTTATTGGTTACTTTATATCCTTCTTGGTCATCGCCGGAACCGTTGAAATGGGGTCTACCTTAGACTTTTTCATTAGTTTTTCATTTCTTTTTTCTTTACACGGTGATTGGCTAAACACTATTTTGTGGGATGAACTGTGGCGGATTTATATGGCAACACTTTTTTAAATCTCCGGGTTTTTTCCCCAAGCGGCTGTGTTATCTACAGGATTACTTACAGTGGGCTATCCTGCATCGGCCAACAATACCTCTAGATGTGACGTACTAACGGTCTAACGGTTTAACACACTGGAGTCACTACAGTAGACAATCTTTTGGCTCAAGTAGATGATTCAAGCAATACTCAAATGCTGTACACTCACATAGCAGCCCTAAACCATTTTTCCGCCACTTTATCTTAATTTTAACTCTCAATATTTTAAATTTTAAAAAATGGCCTTTTAAATTTTAAACTCTCCGACTATATTTCCTTCGAAAAATAGCCATCTGTCAAATTTATAGTTACTTATTATCAGAAAAGCTGTCTTTAAGTTTAAAATGAATATAGAAAATACATTTAAAGTTCGTTTCAAAAAATAAATAATAAAGCACATAACTGACCTTTGATCGATATTAAACTTTATTTTCAATTTTATTTACTATTAAAATTTTTATAATGTAATTAATGCGAATATAATGATAATAAAATTGAAATTTTCTTTTAAATAATAACTGTTTTCTATGTATTAACTGTAACTTTTCGCATTTAAAAAAGAAGCGAAAGAAGATTATCTACAACTATTTTAGTTTATAAAATATAAAAGGCGAGGACAATTAGAAAAAAAAAATGTTAAAATTTTTTCGCTTAGTCTTTACCCAATTAAGACATGTAAATTTTCATATCAGAATTACATTAGACTCTCAGAATGTAGTATGTATTCACTTCTTACAGTAATTATTAATTATTACTGCAAGAAGCGAATTTTCCGGAATTCGTAATTAAATTAGTTTTTCTTATTACATATCGCAATTTCAGGTAATTTCTCTTCTACCGCAAGATATTATGGCAGCTACCACACAGAGTCATCATTTTGTTCACTTATTTAATCGAAGCTTATAGATTATTGAGCCGAATTAATCTTGTAGAGTTACTTTGCCTGGAAACACTAAGTTGAAAGAACGTTAAGAGTTTAGCTATCAAACAAGAGAATTAACGGGAAAGAGAGTCGAAAGATAATTTTCTTGCCTTTTCAGACTGATGTCAATATAGCATCCGCCGATTGAAAAAGGACCAACCAAGCATTATCGTGATGTGGCGAAGGATAGAGTCGACCCCCTCAACTTCTACAACATTCAGTGGCATTGCTAGCTCCTGACTGACCTACGGCCATTTACGTTAGGCTTCTATCGCGTGTGTGACTGGAACCAATGGGGCATTAAAAATGAAAGGGAAAAAGCCCTTGGCTAGACAGTCTTTACTGCTTGCTTGGTACAGCAATCAAAATGACCCAAAGCGTAGAGATGTTGCAGGTTAAGTTAAGAGCAGTGTGATGTACTCTGTTAGGACGTACCCTGAGGATGGACTTAAATCCCCCCAACTCTTTGACAGTCATTTACTCCATTATCTCTGATTACACAGTCTGTCTGTTTGCTAGCACTAGTCCTAATCCTGTGGAAAGGTCACTTTATGGAGCAATCAGGAGTACGATCACTTTAATGGCAGCTCACGTGCAGTAGCTGCCAGCTCGGCGAAAACAATCGCACTAATGATGATGAAAGCCAATTAGATCGAGTTCGAGTTTTCTTGGGAGGTTAGTCCTGGAAAACTTTTTTACGTCCATCCGCCAAATTGTTTCGTGCTGTGGGCTACGGGCGAGTAGAACGGGTGA